ACGCACACACACGCACACACGCACACGCACACAAGCACACACGCACACACACTCTCTGTCTCTGTCAATTTCTGCATGTCTCTATGTGCGTGTATGGTTCGTCACAAGTGAGTAGAGTGGGGCCTCTACACACCCAAGGTCTCCGTCTCCTTGCTCAGCTATTCCAGGAAAAGCCAGCCGGGCACCATGCTCGCCGGTTCTACCTAATTAATAGTTTCCGAGCCACAAGAATGTTGCCACTGCTTTTCTCCAACAGCTTTTATTCAAATCGCAATCTTTAAGGCCGCGGCAAGTCTTCCAAGGCCGGATCGAAATTGGGCAGAGCTGTTGCTGCGTGCTCGAGCACGACATCAAGAATCATGCTCACTCCAGCTACCGGTATCGTGTAAGCATCCAACATGCTTGCTGCTCGATGTGCGCGAGGACGTCCGAGACCGTGTGTGCCCAAGCATTTGCCGTCTGCGTTGCGCTACACAGGAGCGGAATGCAGCTGAAGGTTTTGATCCTTCTCTGGGAAAGGATGCCAAAAGAGCAGGTCCGGATATTGCGTTCTGGTGTGTGAGCCATAAGATCGGCTTAGGGCCCCTTGGCTCAGGTGGAGAGAAGAAAAAGCGCAAGGAGAAGGATGGCGGTCTGCGCAAGGAGAAAAAGGTGATGTGAGCAGCATCGGACATGCCGACAAGTAGACCGCAGGGCCGAGCAAGGAGTTGCAAGACCAAACTGGTCAATCTCTGCAGCCAAAGAAGGATCGTCAGCATCCCTGGACTTCATGACTGTCTGGGCTGCAGCAGACAAAGAAGTTCACAAAGTCATAATCATCCGTCAAGCGGCCCTTTTTCGTGATGTGTCGTCGTAGTCGACTCGCTACCCTGGAATTGCCGCTTCAAGATCCAAAGAATGAGGAGTAATGAGGGATGATATGTTACTGTAGGTTGTTAAAGAGAAAGAATGCTTTGATTTCACGCATGGCCGCACCGGGCTGCCAGCTGCGGCGATGTGGTTGGCACGTCCCTCTGAGGCGATGCAATGAGGTGGGCCGCTGCGGGCTCTTGTGATCTACTCGTACCCAAGACCTACTGTAAGCCGCTTCGTAGAGCAGCACATGTGCAGCCTTTGGGAGGATGCGGCGCAGTTTGTTTTAGGGAGCACATCTCTAAACGCGAAGGCTTGCAATTCCTGGGACGTGCAAGAGATTTTGGCCTGGGACACGCTTGGCATCGCATCCAAAAGCCTTCGAAGCGTTGTTTTTGGCATCGCTCTATCGGAGCACTTTGTGCGCAGCATCGCGAGCTGGTTGGCAGGCGAGGCGAAGACTTGCAGCCGAAAGCGAGGCCATCTGGCCGTCTGTATTGCTGCTTCTCCAGCTGCTCCAACGCTACTGCCAGTGCTGCTGCTACTACTACCACCACTGCTGCTACTACTACTACTACTACTACTGCTGCTGCTGCTGCTTCTTCTACTCCTACTACTCCTGCTACTCCTACCACTCCTACTAAACCTACTTCTCCTACCACTCCTGCTGCTCCTACTACTGCCACTCCTACTGCGCTGCTACTGCTCTGCTACTGCTCCTACGGCGACTGCTGCTATTGCTACTAGTGCATCCTCCGAGTTGCAGGCACACGCCACGAGTGGTGCACGAATTGGCCCCGCGCCAAGGCTCGTGCAAGTGGCTAGTGTTTACATTGTCTCCAACAGACGAGAACATGTTAGCCTTTTGCAGAAGTCCATGTACTTCATGTACTTCATTGGCACATGTGGAGCTGCCTCGTGCCAAACTGCTGCAGTATTCTTCTCCGCCGATGTTCTTTTGCATGCCAAGTCCGCTGCCGGGCTTGGCACAGCGTATCTCCGTCGGCTTCGGTGCCTTGGGCGTCGGCGTGGGCAGCGTAGCAGTGGCTCCTCAGAAACTGGCAGTGGGAGATCTCCGAGGATTCTCCAGAACATGAGCGGGTTGCTCATGTTCTGCATGTCGCTCTGCTGCGATTTCTCTGTTTTTTTGAGGTCTTGGCCTGGTGGCAGCTCCCCCGCATCCAAGCGGCTCCTTGTCAGCTCCAAGAAGAGCCGAGGGCTTTGCTGTCCCGGTCAGCTGGACTCAGGTGCTGGACTCGGAGCCCGAGGTTCAGATTGGGATGGGCAGCAGTTCGTGCTTTTACTAATTCCTTGACGGATTACTTCAAACATCGCAAGTTGCAGAGTGGTTTGAAAGCACTTCCGACCCACTGAGAGAACTTCCGACTGTTGCTAAACTTACCAAGGACGAATCAGGGGGATCCGAGTGATGTGCTCTTGTTGGCCGCATTTCGGAAATCCGGCTGTTGCAGCCAATATTTCTTGATGCATGGCTCACCTCGGCAAGCCTGCGTGCCATGAGAGGCGCCGGCCAGCTTATGGCAGCGTCTTGTGGGTCCCAGACACCCAGCCGATCGAATCTTCGACAAGGCGCACGCAGATAAGCAAGAGCTGCAAGGATCTCCCCCTTTGGGGGATCTGCGAGATTTGCGCCATTCTGAGAATTTCCGACCCTGTGCTTGCGTCAGGCCGATGTGGACGGGGACGGGCACTTGGACCGACGTGAGCTGGCGCAGTACATGATGATGCTCGAAGGCCAACAGTTAAGGGGAAGCACGTCTAGAGTCTAGCATGTTTGCAGGTTTGTGCGTGTTGTATGTAAGCCCTCCTTCTCCTCCTCGTCCTCCTCCCTTCAACCAAACACACCATTGTGGACCTTACGCCTTATGCCCGGAACCGGAAAAGACACCACGAAGCATGCCCGAAATGGTGGTGGGCACGTCTGGAGGATCTGAAAGGGTGACGGAGACGGTTCAACACAAGGCCGGCTTTGACGTGAAGAGACAGATGCAAAACCGCGAAGCCGAAGCAACAGCGGACACGAACCCTCACACATGTTGCAGCTTACAACAACACTGCAAATAATGCTAAGACGAATCGAAGGGACATGTAGATGTGCCACACCAAAGCAACCGACGACAACAGAAGTCACGAACTCTCAAAAACCAAGCAGCAGGCGTGATTCCAGGGGAGTGCAAGCAGCAGGCAGACCGTGGCTTTACTGGCGGGGTTGAAGGCTTTGCTGCAAAGGGAAAAGCCAGGGTCGTTTAGACCCCGCCCCAAGATACATGCAGCACCTTGAGGCCTACCTGGCACAGAAACAACAGACATGGCTGTGCAGGCTTTTCCAAAATGAAAGTGGCAATCATGGTTTGTAGAGCCCCGTCCCTATACCGAAAAGCAGCAAGAGTGACTTCGGACACCGTTTGCACCGACAACGGCCATGGCGACTAGGCCACTAGGCTTTGCAAGGGTGGTACGTGAATATATTGGATGGCCGAACAGCGCTCGCGAAGGGCATGATGGTCATTGACTCATCGCTGGTCTCCGAGGTCTTTTTGCCCAGCTCATGCGTTAATGTGTGGAGCACCCATGAGCTCCCCGCTGAGTGCTTCGCTTGGACTACACCCACCAGTTTTTGGCGGGAAACGTGGCAGTTCTGAGGGCATTAACCGTCGCCGACATGCGATCACAGAGATGGGGACCCTGCATCGCGATGTTTTTATGCCGTAACGGGCGGTGGTGGTGGTGAAGCTTGATGCCTGCTCAGGAAAAGAGAAATTTTTACTGAACCTAAATTTCCGGGAACTCGGCGAAATTCTCTTTCCGAGTGCTCCTGCATCAGCATGAACCAGCTGCCTTTCGCACGTCCGACCAGGGCTTGTGGACGATCTGCATCATACTCGTAGAGGCTAGTGCCCCGCACCGGCTTTGCAAAAAAATGTTCGCACGAGGTGTTAGTCTTGGTGGGATGGAGTTTCAGCCTTCCTATTCAACATGACGTGTGATTTTCAGCTTGTCCAGTTTGCAGCTTGCTGCTCGTCAGAGCCCACCCAGGGCAGGATGGTTTCACCTTGCTCAAAGTGGGCGATGATGATCAGTGGTGCCCGGCCTGCCGTCCGTGAGCTGCGTGACACCGATCCGCGGTTCGGTGGCTGAACCGCGCGTGGACATTCCGGTTGCCGAGACTCGTAGCCTGCGTCCTGGGCCCCAGTGCTGCGCTGTTGATCAAATCGGCCCATGACGTGTGTCGGGCTTTAAATTACGTTCTTGACAAGCGTGGGGCATTTGCGTGTTTGACAGACGCGTGTCTGTGCCAGTTGTTTGATGGAGTGCCTGTTGACACGTCGATCTTCTGCAGCAGACGAGTGTCTGCTTTGCTGCCTTCGTGTGCAGGCATGTTCTTGATGGGTTTCTTTGCTTGGTGCGTGTTTTCAGCCTCCCGGTGGGCATGTGTCTACTTCTCTGTGGTCTTGGAGTGGTTATAACGCTGGCACTTATTCGTCCGGAGTTGCTTGTGTGCCTTGCTCTTTCCTTTGCTGTCATGGCGGCTGCCACTGCATGGCGTCAATTGCTACTGGATGCGTCTGTGCCTCAGGAGGTGATAACTCGCCTATCGGAGTTGCACTATTCCGGCAAAGCCTCGTTTGCATTAGAATCAGAAGCAGTGTTCAAGTCCTTCGCGATGCTTTGGTGACCAAAGGGTTGATGCCAGATGTTTCTTGCGCGACGTCTGGCGCCAGTCTGAACCGACTCCGGTTGCAGCCACGCCGGGCATATCTAACACACGGAAATCGCTCATGCAGAATTTTCCCACATGAGCACCCATCATTGTCAGTGGTCATCGGTGTCATTCATGAAAAGAACATTTTAGACGAGGAGTAAGGCACCTGTGTCGGGAGCCCTGGTCTAAGAACGTTTTGTGGCTGTTGAATTGGGGGTTTCCTGCAGAACTTGAGTGTTTGAATTTCCCGTCGTTAGTTGGTCAGATGGCATTGCTTTCTTGCTAAGGAGCTGTGGAATAATGGACATGAGTGGCTTCAACGCCATCTGGGAGGAGATCAACACTGAGAGCATGGATAACATCTCGAGGGAGGAGTTCCGGAGCTTTCATGACAACGCCGAGCGAAACTTTTATTTGAGCCTTGCAACCTACATAAACCAGAATCTGCGTAACGACTGACATCACAGTACAGTCACCAAATTGTCGATGGGTAAGCAATTCCTGATTAGTTCTCATGGCGGTTTGCAGGTTTTTTAGTTTTTCGGACGGATCAATGTTGCAGTAGTTGCATCCGCATCATGATGTGGGCCATTGCCGAAGAATCCGAGGAGCTTATGGCGTTCACTAGTTTCCGACCCGAGCTTCCTGGGCAGCGCTTTGTATCTCAGTGGATCCGTCCTCTTCGCCGCTATGCCGTACTGGTCCTTGGCTAGTCCCGCCACTCGGTTGCAGTTTCTGCTTCTTGCACCTGCCTGCCCCTGTAAGAGTTTTTCGGGTTGTGAATTGCACGCAGTACAGTTGTGATTCTTTTCGGGACCGAGGCAACCATGACAAAGCTGGGGCAGGCAGGCGATTGACTCGAGATTCTAGAATTCAGTTGGAATGCTGGCTCACGATACAAAACGTGCATTGTTCTTCGAATCCAACCTTTCGTTCGTGCACATATAAGGTGCCTCTGGCGAGCAGGCATTTGCTTAAGCGCAGAATGCAACTGTTGCTTTTTGCGAGTGTTCTGCAATCACTTCATGGAAGTTAATGGCATGTGGTTCGTCGTCATCATCATCATCAGCAGGGAGAGGAGAGGAGGAAGAGGAGGAGGACTAGCGCTAGCGCTAGCACCGGCGAAAGCACTGGCACTGGCACTCTCCCTAGCCCTAGCCCTGGCGCTGGCGCAACACTCAGACCAGCAGCAGGAGCAGCAGAAGGAGGAGCAGCAGGAGGAGCAGCAGGAGGAGGAGCAGGAGGAGCAGGAGGAGGAGCAGCGGCGCCGGGGCAGGAGCAGGCGCAGGGGTAGGAGCAGGGGCAGGGGCAGGAGGAGTGGCAGCAGGAGCCGGAGCCGGAGCAGTAGCAGCAGAGGAGGACCGTAGGTTGGATCTCGCGCTTGCACGGAGGACCTCCTAGGCTCTCAGCAATCCGAAGTCTTTGTGAAACATTGCCGGCATACTGTGTGACGCGACTCTTCATTTAGACCAAAATTTAGACCATTTCATGTGCTCAAAAGTATGCGATATTTCTCTGTGATGCATGTTTTTGGAAGGTGTTCTACATCTTCGGGGGCATGCTCTTCTTGTCTCAGACACTTGTTCCTCGGACCTGAAGTTATAGTGGAGGATGCTATCCACCCCTACTGAAGCTCGAACTTTGCACCGTTTTGATGCCAAGGAGCGCCATACAGATCGTCTGAGAATCCATCGGCGGCTGGCAGGGATAATGGAGGCGGAACAATGAAAAAAAGGCCGTGCAAGCACCAACAAGCAACCGTCTTACCTTCAGAAGGCGCATGGTCAAGGCTTTCCTTGCCCCTGTAGACAGTGTTTGCCTCGCGAAGACGGCACTGCACACGAGGAAGTGCAAGGAGATCCCAAGCTTGAACAGCGTGCTGCCTGTCTTGGTCTCCTGTGCAGCAGAAGTCTGCTTCTTCAAGCCCTCTGGCTTTGCCGGCTCAGCCACTCACTTCCTTTTGTCTTCGTTCTTTGAAAGGCTTTTTCTTGGAGATCATTCTGAGACCTGAGAGCAGTGAAGAGTAACGACAATTATTATGCGTACGCACTTCCACTGGCTTGAGAAGGAGACAAGTTTTTTGTACTGCTAGTATTTTCGACGATCCTGCAGTCCGCAGTGCTTTTGATTTTCGCGCAGACGCGGAGTTTCCAGGTGCTCATGGTCCTGCTGAGGTTCAGCTCAAGGCAATCAGGAGTTTGCCGTCGGACCCGTTGAGTCTCTCTCTCTCTCTATATATATATATATGTATATGTATGTATACATGTATGTGTATGTGTACGTGTGTGTTTGAGTGTATGCATGTATGTATGTATGTATGTATGTATGTACGTATGTATGTATGTATGTATGTGCATGCATCTATGCATGTATGTGTGTATGTATATGTATCTGTATATGTACATGTATATTTGGTTTTGTATATGTATATGTGTATGTATATGTATATGTATATGTATATGTATATGTATATGTATATGTATGTGTATATGTATATGTATATGTATATGCATACGTACATGTTTAGGTGTTTTGTCGATGGTTGTGTATATGTATATGTATATGTCTACATGTTTGTATATATATATATATGTATGTGTATGCACCGGACCACACCGTCGGGAGGCATTGTTCGAATTGACATGGTTTAGCCTTTTTTTATTTGCAAGTTTCCTTCAGTTTTGTGCAGCTCGCTTCGAAGCCCTAGCATACTTACGCCGACAAAAGTCACTTCGTGGCAGAACTGTTCGTGTTCCTCTTTCAGCCACCCTGGCTCAGCTTCAAGTTGTGGATAGCTGCAAAGGGCCGTGTCCAGGCTCGCCCGATGTCTTGGTTGCTGTGGTTCTTGCAAGGATAGGCATGATGCAGCTTGCTTCCCTTCTGAATCGAGCTGATTGACACACAAGCAATATGAGCCGAGGCGTAATGCTCACATCTGCTCGTCGGCTGGGTGTCCGCCGTGCGTTGGCCTTGCGTGCCGCTCAACATGGCCAGCCCATGAGGACCTGAAGTAGATTCAACATGCCGCACGGTCACAATGTATCAGTTTTGACGAAGCTGGCAAGGCAGCCGGTTGCTGCAGTAGCGTGGGGCTGTTGAGGGTGGCACCTGGATGCCTGTGTCAGGAGGCAGTCGTTTGGCTATGGCGACCCTTCTCCCCCAAACATGCCTGGCATCGGAGGTTGCTCGTTTTTCAATGGAGGGATCGGGTTTTCATCACGCTATGGCTTCTTGCTGTTTGCTGGCATGTGTCTGGCAATTGTGAAGGTGAGCATCAGCTGCACCCTCCAGAGACAATGCAGACCACTGCGAAGTACTTTGCAGAAGCTTGCTTGATTTGCGCCGGAGTTCTTGACGACTTGTGCATTGCCAGAAGGCTCTCTGCTTTGTAACAGTGAGGACAACATGACCAATGTCCCGAAGTACAAGGAGAGAGCAGCAATGCGTCGTGTCACGGTGAATGGCAAGTGCGCAGCCGCAGCCTTCTGCTATTTGCCTGCAGGAAATCATTGAGGGAATCGGCTATCCTGGACAGAAGCATTCGGCCGGAGGCAGGCGCAGCATGACTCGTAGCACTTCGTGATCTTGTGTTGGTTTTCTGCGGAGAAGGCCTATGCACTCTCGGCCGGATCTACTACGGCCCTGGCCGTTGCCGTCTCGGATTTCTACAGATATCCGTTTGTGCCCGGTAGGGACCCAGGGAGCTTTGGGACCTGCCACGTGACATCGGATGCCGCAGACATGGCTCAACAAATGAAAAGCTACACCTACAAAAGTTTGTTAGTGACGCGCATGCACGGGTGGTTCACAGATGTCCTGAGATTCTGCTTTCCTCTTTCGTCCTGTATTGTCCAGCTTGCCGCGATCCAAATGCAGCGCCCACTGCTGAAGCAGTCTTTCAGCAAAACTCTGGGTTTGCCAGCGAATTCCGTGCACAGAGGCTGGATGGGGATGTAAGCTGGCGCTTTAGTGTCGTGCGAACTTTGGGATTCAGGGAGCTCGGTGACGCAGCACGGCTGTGGCTGGTTGCAAACAAGCGCAATGCAGCACTTCACTTTGTCGCCTGTTGTGAAGGAGCTTTGCTGATGGCCTGCCTGCTGGGCGTGATACAGTTGCTTTATGGCATTGAGTTGAGGTGTGACACTCCAGCAGCCTGAAGAAGTTCAAGATGCTGAACTTGCCGAGTTACAGCTGAATTACGGCACGGGCAATGGAGAAGCCGCGTGAGCAGCCAAGGTATGGAATGGTCTATGTGTTCGCTGTGATTGCAGATGACATGGAGTCCTACTATGATCTCAAGGAGGGTGACGGAACAGAGCTCTTTGCCCGTTGGCTGCAGTCTGAGCTGATAAGCGAGACGGAATGTCGACTTTGGCTTGGAAGCAACAGGTTGTTCTCAGTTGAGTCTGACATGCCCGGACGAAATTACTCACGGCTCATCCCGATCCTGTACAACGTTCAATATCTTTATTGTGTGAAGCACTCCGTGCTCCGGACCGGAGTCTCTTCTCTTCTCTGTCCTGCCAGTCCTATGTCCAGCACGATCGAAAGTAGGACTCGAGCGCAGCGGAATACCCAGGATATGCTCAACTTCGGTGCCTGTGCATTGTCATTTGTGCCGGGCTTGCTCTATGATTACTACGGGGCAACCGTTGCAATGACCATCGGCACCATCATCGGCTGCTTGGCTGCGGCCTTGTGTACCTTCAACCTGGAAGTTTCAAGCGGATCTCCTTTTGTTGGTGCTAGGCGTCTTGCCTATCATCGGCCAATTAGACTGGTCGAAGATCTTCCCTTCCTTGGACACCTTGACAGGCCTGGCCTGGGCATCTGCCAAAACAGGCATTTTTCTTCTGCTTTTGTTGCGCTTCTGGGCCAGGCCTGAAGGTGAGCTATGCTATTTTTGGCATGGCGGAGGTGGGCAGCCGTGATTTCACATGCGGAAGACTGCATTTGAGTTGGAAAAGCCCATCAGAAAACTCTCCTTGCAAACCTGAGGCTTTTTTCAGCACCATCGCGACATTTGCGCCTTTGGAAGCGTTCCCTGTTCAGTATGTGGGGGCGGTCTCCGCAGCAGTTCAGGCATCTAGCCTCAAGTGTTTCAGAAGCTGTAGTGCTTTGTCATGCATAAGTGGAGCCCTAGCCCAATTTGGATGGTAGTGCCACGAATCCCCCAGATCCCAATCACTGGTGTTGCCGGCTTGGCTTTGCTTAAGGCAGGAGCTGAAGGCACAGAGGAAGGGAGGGAGGGAGGGAGGGAGGGGGGGAGGGAGAGACGGAGGAAGGAAGGAATCGAATGCAAAGCCTTGCAAAGGTCTGCATGGGCCTCATGATCGAATAAGTTGCTCACGGGACACCTTCGAATCACTTTGGCACCAGATCTTCGCTGGCAGATTCGAACCCAACAAAGACCATCGTGCCAGTGTTGCGCGAACCAGAGAACAGACAATGGGTCAACTAACTAAGTAAAAGGCAAGACTCTACAAACAGCAACCCACCGATTCTGCTCGTGTTGCTGTCATGCTAGGACATAAGCCATCAGGTTGATTGAATCCATCCTTCAGGCTTTTGTGTTGCCTTGGTTTTGATTCATGCTTCCTCGTTTTCCGATTTGTGCTGCCGTCTGCAGTCTGCAGATCCATGCTGCACTCAGCCTGGACACTGTAGGGTTCATTGGGGAGGCTTGGGCTCAACTTGAGGCTTTGGTGGACATGTTCAGGTGTGGCAGACATGCCGGCGCTCTGAGGTCAGCACATCGCTGGGTGCCAGCATTCAATCCGAAGTGTACGTGCTCCTGAAGGATGACTCACTCTAATTCATGCGCAGAAAAGGGCTTGCTGCGACTCAGCTGATGGTGCCGAGCCCTGCTAGGCCAACTTTACGAACTTCGTGCAAGTCTACTATACCTACATGCTTGTTTGCACCGTCGTATGTGGTGGTCTCATGATATGCGCTTTCTGGGAGAACAGCAAGCTGTTGCACAGAAGCAAGTCGACTGTGGCAGACGACTTGGAACAATGCAGCTTACAGCCACGTTGCTGAATACATGGGACTGCTTGTTGATGCTTTTGCTGCTTTTAGTGCTGCTGCTCCTGCTGCCGGTGCCACCTGGAATGCATTCTGGGCTGTTAGACTTCACCCGAGGTCTTCTCTGTTCAGCATGAATTTCCTGTACATGTGCTTACTCTTCTTGCTTGGAGTGGGTTTTGTGTTCAGCTACTTGGATGCTGCAGGCACGGTGTTGGAAAAAACCTCATCTTTTTGTTGAATGTGCCGGGCAGCCTGGGCTGTCGGGGCCCTCACTGTTGCGCTCATCCCGCAGGCGACATCAATGCAGCTGCTGGTTTGCCCGCCTCGCGAGCGACGTTAACGTTTGGTATCTACGGTGCACTTGCGCGAGTTGTGGCCAACTGCGCGTTGGACTACACTCGCAGCAAGCCCAATGGAGGTCCGTTGACATACATTGCGCTGTCACTGCTCTCGCTTGCTGCAGGCTGGACTGTTGCACTTCTGCGCTTGGTTTAAGGTAGCTTGGATTTCATCTTTTAAACAGTTCCCGGGCCCACGCAAAGCTTTTTGTTTTTACTTCCTCATGCTGCAGAAAAGCATGTGACCCATGCGAGGCCTCAAGCGTCAGTAATTTAGTAAGAGCGTCCAGACTGTCATTTCTTGCATGGTTATCATGGTCATTCTTCAAGGATTCAAAAACAGGCATGCACGAGTGTTGACCGCTGGGTTGTGCTGCACGACTGTGTGGGGCGGTGCCGGTTGACGGCTCAACGATGGCGGAACCAGTTTGTGCACTGCCACAGCACAACCCGATTTGCAGTCTGGACTTGAACTGCTGCTGAGCAATCGGCAAAATCAATCAATGGCCGATGCCCGTGGATGTCGTCGGGGGCAGGTCAACATCAATGGGAGGCGTTAGCAACACTGCTTGCACACCCCATGCACCTTGGAGTACGCCTTTTGAGGCCCCTGGGCGGGTGTGCAACAACACATTGGCAGGGCTTCTTGGATGCTTGGGTCCCGGAGCCTCTGCTTCCACCCTGGCTGAGCGTGCCTCTGTGACTTCGGTAGCCGAATCTGATTGCATGGGAGTGACGAAGCTGCTGTAAATTTCGTCTGGCAAAGGCTTAGCGGTGGCTGGGACGGCTTCTGATCCGGACACAACGTCTGTTCATGTCTGGCACCCAGCTTGAGGTACCCGTGTCTTTCGCGACAATCGGTGAGGTCTGCATAGAGAGAGGCATAGAGGTGGGTCCGTGAGGATAAGAGCCTCCACTTCTCAAGCAAAAGATTCGGCCCATGGCCAGCAACGACTCTCCTCGCCGGAAGTTTGCCCGAAGCACAATGCAGCACAGCGAACTAGTGCGAGGATAGCGCCTTTGCCGTCATCCGTGTGTCGTGTTTGGCAAGATCGTTCAATAGATGTCTTCCGTTTTGCTCGTCGTCGGCGCAATCCGATGGCTTGTGGAATCCGCGGGTCGGTAACAAGGTGTATACCAAGCCCGTTACATTGCGAACACAGGTCTGTCAGAAGAAGATCTACAGTCATCAGCGTGTTCAAAGTTGCCGAAGAAATGAGAGACGAATCTCGCGATAGCTGTGCTGATGCAGATCTGAGGTCATGAACCTGTTCTGCAGCCTGGGTGCTGGGGGCTTGCTCGGTGTTACACCACCCGCATTGAGGCGCCTTGGAACGGAAAAAGCCGCTTGCGCAAACTCGCCTTCCAGATTGCTGACAGGCTGCTATTTGGATCTGGATCTTTGGGTATCATCTACGGGCTTCTTGTCTGGTTGCCAGGCAATGCTACGCATATCGGCTCTTCAAGCCGTGATGAGTAGACCTGCCTCGAGAAGTGGCTGGTGTACCACTGTGTGAGTTGTGTTTCGGCTGCTGTGCGTGCTGTGAGGCTGCTCTACCTCCTCACTGCTTTCGGCATTCCTACTTGGGGCCTACTGCTTCCCAGCCGGGGATGTACCACGGGATGCTTCAGAGCTTATTGCCGCACAGGCGGGGGGAGCACGGCTGATACACCACTGTTGTTGCATGCGATTACTCGTCCTATTCTTCTCTGCTGTTGTTCTCTCACACACGGTCAGGACGCTGGACTGAGCACCTAGCAGGTTCTGTGGTGCCGCTGAGCTATCTCTCTGTTGTCTGACAGGTGCTGCTCTTTTTCCAGTTCTTGCCCTAGGCGCATTGCTTCTCGGGCGAGGACTTTCACGAACCAGAGTTGCAGCAGGTACACTTATGGGCAACTTCACATGCTACGATTACTGAAATGGCGATGCGTGTCGTGAATGCAGGAGACGATGCTTCACGAGGTGGTTGAAACCCGCACGTTAGGAGCTGGTGCCATTGGACCTGTTTGGCCGTGGCATCACAGAGCAGCGCAGGTTCATCAAGATGATGGACTCTAGCCCAGCGGCAAAGCTGGTTGAGAATTCAATCTAGACTACGCACAAAGCTTGCGGAAAACAGCAACTTTGTTACCGAAGCCTCTTTGTCTGGCAGCTTGTCTTGGCAGCCGTGTAAGGGGCTCGCCTCAGTGCCAATTCTGCGAGCAGCTGGTCGATCTCGCAAGTAGCATAAGAAGAGAATGCGGCGTTTCTGCTTCGATCTTTGGTCCTCCGTAAGGCTACGACTATGGGCGCCCGGTGATGCCGAAGGGTGCTTCGGCGGGAATTTTTCTGGGCAATCGAGCAGCGCAAAATCAGCGACTAAAAACTAGACGGAGAATCATAGAGGGTGGGACAAGGTCTGCAGTGAAAGCGATACGAGTGTTTTGTCTTCGTTGTCTCCGAATCCCTTACTTGGTGGCAGGGCGAAGCTTCATTGTGCTGTTGCTAGCAACTTTGTGCTCGTGAGGGGCTTCTCTCCAACTGATGTCAGATGTCAGATGAGACATTTAGGGACTTCAGGTTTTGATGTTTAGGGTTTCGGGTTGAGGGGAATTAGCACAACAACCCCAAGTTGGACTCGAGGCCAGCTTTTTTGGCATTGTCCGCAATTGGGAGGTTCTTCGGAACAGTCTAGGTACCCTTAGCAAGGAAGTGGCATCCGGCACCTCCGTATGTAAAACTCGCATGCTGCTCTGGCCTGCTGTTCCCTCGAAACGGCCGAGGATGGTTTGCAAACTTCTTCTATCCTCTGTGGGTCTGGCCCTGAGAATTTCTGTTGCGCTTTCTATGCAAGTGCTGCAAGCATCGTTTCTTAATTAGAGATTTGCGATAGTTGGAGCTGAGCCGCGTGTAAGGAGTTCGGCCATATCGTCTTCGTGTGTGATCGCTGGCTTGCTTGGCGTTTCCTCCGGCATTTCATGGGCTTCCTGACTCCTGACGGCAGTTTGCCTTTGTGGGGTGCCAGGCTGCTTTAGGAGCTTTCGCCAGGATTTGCGCATAGAGTGATGCTTCACAGAAGCCTTCTTCGCTGCTGGAGCACCATTGAAGGAATCACAAAAATTCTTGGGAGTTCCTGGGGTGAGAACACTATGAGCAAAGACATGGATAGCTCTCTCTCTCTCTCTGTGAGAGTGTGCGCTGGGTCGGGGACTCAAAGACACTCAAAGTTCATGTCTCTTGACTACACCAGCCTCGATGTCGGAGAAATATTAAGATACCGAGGCCACTTATCCGAAGCTCTAAAAGCCAAGCTCTTATCGTCTTTGAACTTTTGTTAACTTCTGTAGTTGTTGTGCTTTTTTTGCTAGCTTCCTTCGGTTTGGGGAGGATTTCCATTCTCAAGTTTTTGGCTTCCTCTAAAGAAACTTTCTTTAGCCGTCTAAGCTTCGTTTGTTTTTTTTTTAGCTTTCTTTGGCAATCCTTGCACAAAGCCTAAACCTCAACCTTTGAAATGAAATCCCAGTGATGACAGAAAACAGTCTACGCTAGAACCTGGGGCCGGAGCTAGGGTTGGGTGTGTTGTGTTTAGGGTTTAGGGCTTTGGGTTGATTAAGCTTTCGGTGCTTTAATTTGGGTTTTGGCTTCGGGCTGGGCCGAGGGTCCCGCTCATCCTGGTAACTCTAGGTGTTACTGTAGGGTTTGGGTTCTATTGTTTGGTTTAGGCTTCGGGTTTAGTTCCCAACTCACCTTCCGGGGTCCAGCCCGTCCGGTCCAAATGATCGGTGGTGCCGCTCGGATGAGCGGGGTGTCGGGAATGCCCCATGCCCCGAGCAAAGCAGACAGAGATAGACAGCGAGAGATCGTGCGAGGGCGATGGCCACCCTGATGCTGGGGTGATGCTGTTTGCCAGTGGCAATGACATGCAGTAGCAGACTGACGAGACTCATCCTGGCTACAGACGTTTGCGGTTAAGGATCTGCTACATTCCCCTCAACATTCAGATGCAGTGCTGCCCCCAGCTTCGGAGATCTAGGTTCTAGAATGCGTAGGAAAGGTTCTGCAGTTGCAGCGGTTTCTCTGAGACAGTTCGGTGTGGAGAGTGTGATGTTGCTGCGACGCCACGTGTGAGTCGCCTGCTAGCGGGTGCCGGTTTACAAGGGCGAAGGGCACTGCAGTCTCGATCAGCCTACGTTTGGAGAGATGAGCTGAGAATGAGAATGCCGGATTGTTTGCACTTAGTTGGAACAAGCAGATGATGGAGGACTTGGCCCCTGCCGCGTCCATGAATCGATACCTCAGCAACAGCTGTCCTGGCCTTGCAGGAGTACAAGAAGCATCACGAGCTGTGAGGGCGAGTCGCATTCCGCTTCTTAGAGGTCTTGCCGGCAAGCCCCACTGGCCGACGAAGACTCAGACCTTTCAAAGCTCATGTGCACCTGCCAGCTTCTTCCCTGGAATGCACCAGCACTGCTGTCTAGAATATGTCACGCCAACACAGTCCAAGGGCCTTAACGTGAAGCTGGGTGGGCAGCAATGCATCAAGCTTTTCGATGCAGCCACCCATGCAACTGCTTGCCACAATGTTTTGAAGCATGTCGACTTGATGAAAAAAGGCTGCTCCGAGGCTCGTGTGCAGCTTGCATGAGGTGATGCACGTGATTCAGCTTGTCGTTCTCTGCACGTCCTGTTGGTTCAGGTAGCTGTGGAGAATCGGGGACCCGGGAATTAGCAGAGTAGTGTTGAAGTGTTTAGCTTCTTATCGATGTCGGGCTTGACCCAACTCCGAGCAGGTGTCGAGGTCAGGTGAAGACGCCGGTGTCTAAGATTGCACTTCAACGCCCTAGCTTGAGGATGGTATCGAATGCTGCCGCGTGCATCGAACCTTTGTGGAAGGACAGAGTAGAAGTCAGTGGCCACAAATGTAGCTGCGCAGTTCTGAGTCACTGCTTACTGTACGAGTTCTTTTCCCAGGAGTTGTGCTCACACCCTGCCCACCTCGTTCGCGATCTTGGCCAGATTTCTCTCAGTCTGTGGTTGAGCTTCTGCACACTGAGCCTGAGATGATCCAGAAGTCCGAAAAGCGCGCTACTCATGAACACGTCCAGCCAGCTTGGGACGATTGCCTGGGCTTGTCACCTGGGCACCACTTGTGGGCCGGTGTCACCAACCTCATGATCTGCAACCTTCCAGCCAGGTGAAAGGCTTAGCCTTCTGCTTCAAGGTTTTTGTTTGCCAGTCCCCGTTTTACTCTCCTTGCTAGGTGGTTGTCGATCCTAGCCGCCTTAGGCCCTTAGGCTTCGGCATGCTGCCATGTCACCAAACCTTGTTTAGACTATCGTTCTCGGGAGTTGCTTTTCATGGAAACGGCTTGAATCCTGCATCAAGCCAGATGAGCCCAGAGTAGTCGTGTAGGCAAGACCCAATCAATGCTCTGACTTGAACTCGGCTCCAAGGTGCACGCAGCAGGAGCTGGAAGCCTTCTTGACCGACCTTGTTCCAGGGACCATGAAATTGACTTTGCCGCTGTCGGCAAGTGGACGGAACCGCGGTTATGCATTCGTTCGAGCAGCAGAGATTACAGTGCAGCAATTGGTGTCAGTTCTTTGGAGAAAGTGCGTGCCCACCCGGAAGAGTACTCGCCCGCTGAAGCTGCAGCCGGCGAACATGCACAAAATGAAGGTTTCACAATAGGTGCACTGCAATCAGTGGACCTGAACAATTGAACAATTCATTTATCAAGGTATCTGCAGGGTGTCCGCGGAGTGCTTTGGTGCCGGAAGCCAGGCTTACCAAAATGCATTCCATGAAGAAGTGCCCTGAGTTTGAGCCAAAAGTGCTGCATGGGTCCGCATGCATTGACGTGTGTGTGTGTGTGTGTGCGTGTCGTATGCACAGGCGATCGCGGGCTCTGATGCGTGTTTGCGCACCGCCGAGCCTGCTCAAGCAATGGATATTTAGCGTGTGCACCTCCGAGAGGGCGACGCCACCATGAGCGAGGGGGCCTCAGAGGGCCAGATTTGTGCCCTGAACGGGGAGAGAAAAAGACGCGCAGCTTCACCGAATCGAATTGCTTTGAGGTGGAAACGGAGAAGTACTGCACAGCCTGCAGCCATGAATGCTGCACAGTGTGGGCTTGTTGTGTAACACATAGCAGGTCAGGTACTGCAGACAGTGAGCAAAGGCAACGTATGTAGAGTCTTCGCAAAGGTCCTTATTCACTATGAGAAGGGTGTGCCGCCGACTTCTGAAGAGCTTGCCAAAAAGTTGGAAAGCAAGAAGGACTCCGGTCAGGTTCATCTTTTGCATGGCATAGAACCACATCGGGACTGCAGGAGAGCATACAAGCAGAGGCTCTCGAAGAGCTGATCCTGCTCATGATAAATGGCGAGCGCTGGGCTTAGTTCGGTGTTCCACTCGGCAGTGCGATGCCTGGGCAGGTCTGTGTTGGAGGCCCATGCAGAACATTTTTGCAGAGTGACCAGATTTCGGTGAGGTCATACCCAAAGCTCTTGATGACCATCATCCGTTTCCGGCTTACGGGTCGGGCTTCCACCCCTTCGCCATGATGTCTCGCCTTCAACCCAGGTTTTGTAGTGACGAGCAGAGACCACAGAGTCAAGAAGCTGCTGCAGATCTACTGGGAGATCGTAGAGAAAACCAAGGCAGAGAGATGCCTCAAAGGCTTGTCCAGAGACGCCGCTCTCTCTTTGAGGACAACGGCGACCTGAAAGAGGAGATGATCTTGGTCTGCAACGCCCTGCGGAATGACCTGATGCATGCTAATGAGTGACTTGCTGGCACCACATGTGCTGACCGAGCTGATGCCACGGCGCCTGATTCAGTCTTTTGCATTGCGAGTTGGGCCTTGAAATCTGAAGAGGTCTGGTCAAGCTTTTTACTTATCCTTTTCAATATTTTGGTTTCCAGTCTTCGGTTTTGCCGTGATACCTAATTGGCGTTCACTGTGCGGACTGTGGGTAGCATAGATTCTAGCACTGCCACATACTGCGACTGTAGGAATCCAAATCATAAGAACAAGGGTTCGGCTCGTCGCATGAAGGTATGTCTGTGGCTCGACGCTGCGGTCCTTGGCCTTGGTTGCAGTGCAGTGCTTCACAGCGTCAGAAGACTGTGCACACACGTCTTCTTGAATTCGCTTAGGTTATTGTGCAAGATGAAATACTACAGGCCTGGACCCACTCTGCCCGTCCCGGGTCGCGAGTGGCTCTTCTCGCCACCACTGTCTAGTGCTCATGTGTTCTTTGCGGCCTACTTGGCAAAAGCTGTGCTGGGTGCCTGATGCTTCAGCATTCCTTGCTCCGACAGTTGCTTTGGTCTGCAGTCTGCGTTTGCCTTTCGAGATCTGCTCTGCCAGGATCCTTGAGCCTCTAAAGGAGGCAGTGCTCAGAAACCTGGGCCACAGGCGGACAGATGTGTTCAGACAGTGCTACTAGCCTGTGCGCCAATGACGTGTCACGGGGAGAAGCATTCTCGCAACACCGTGCGAGGCACTCATACGTTCGCCGAAATGCGGTGATGTGCGTTTTCTCCATCGTGAAGAGCTTTGGTGTGGAAGTTCTGCCCGAGGCAAGGCAGAACCGGGGCCTTACATAGTTAAGTAGCACGGGAATGGCAAAACTGTGGACTCGAAGAAGTGTCTGTTCTTGAAATGTTGCTGTCATGTGTGATTGTTTTGCAGATCCCGCCAAAGCAAGCTATTTCCTGTGGTCGTTTCGAGACGCCTGTATCGCGAGGCCCCAGAAGACATCGAGCAGTTGCTGCTGGTCGAGGGTGATTTGTCCACCAAGAGTGGCGCGGCTTATGTCCAAACTTTGTACAGTACCTTACAGCACGTAGTGTCGCCAAGACGCAGCCCGGCGACAGTCAGCGACATCAGTTCTTGAACTGTACCCTCGCTACTCCGAGGAAATGCTTTCCTCATGCTCGTGAATTGCGATCAGGACCTTAGCAAGTTGCACAGAACTTGTGACCAGCGTGTGGACCTTGCTGATGGCAGGAGAGAGCCATCAAGTATGTCTTGAGCTTGCAAGATCAGGCCGCTTGGAAGCGCAGGTCTAACACTATGATGTGGAGACTTTGCGATGTGTAACCGTAGAAGGCCTCGGGGCGGCATCCTGCTTCCTCTACTTCTGGGGATCTCCCAACTGGTTCGCTCTGACCGCAAGCACCGCTGACATCGTACTTTCCCCTGTGCATACGATAAATTGCTCCAACGCTTCTTGCCATTCCTGTAACCCTGACAGACACAATCTACATCGGCCGGTTTGAACCTGTCCAGGGGTGTCCAAGCTTTTTAGCCAGGTCCGGCCTTTCTGTATTCTCGTGATCTATATTGTCTCCTGCGCCCTAGACCCAGCAGTCATCGATGCTTTCAGCCCACCCAAGGTCAGTTCCATGGGAGACATCTTCCAGCTGGCGGTTTTGGAGCTTGTACGGAAGGCAGCAGCACACACGGTGTATGAGGTATGTTGTGAAAGACTTGGCTGATGGCATTCTCTTGAAGCAAGTTGTTGGAGAGGTTTGCCGGTCGACATCAGTCAACAAGGGCCGCTTCCTTCGGATTGCATCTTGGACCTGACGAGAGTGCCTGAGCAGTGTTGTCTCGCGCTGCGACGCCATCTAAGGTTTTTGATTTAGCTTCGTCATCCTCAACCGCGGTGTTGGATGCCGAGTGGCATGCGTCTCCGGAACGCCTGCAGACGTGTCGGGCCTATGCGTCTCGTTTGTGCAGCCCTGTCTGAAGAGGTCCTACGAATGTGCCTCCTCACTGGTTTCGCTGTCCTCATCACCTGTAGCCATACATCAGGCTGCGCAGGCACATCGTGGGGGAGCTGTGTTTGCATCAACACAACGCTGCAACGATGATAACTTAGACTCAGTGTTTCAGGCTCGTCTACTTAGACAAGGATCTCCTGCATGGAACGTTTACTTTCTTCAGCGGTTTTCCACGCCTTGTGAATCTGCCTCATTCCCGACGGAAGGCCCCAGCCGAGGAAAGGTTGCAGTTGTGTTGGCACCATTTTGCAAATTTCACCTTCACCTTTCCTTGCGCAGCCTAAGCCTTAGGCTGCGGGTGGGGGTGATGGGAGGACGTGCGCCATCTTATATCCAGCCGGCATGGGCTGACCAAGAAATGCTAAGATCCTCGTGTCTGCACTCGTGGCGGAGGCCTATGTGCAGTTGCTGACGGAGCAGTCAGACAACAACGTGAAGTTGCTTGGTTTGTTCATCGTGATAGGTAGATCCACCCTGAGCCTCGGGCCGTCCCGGGTCCTGGGAAAGCTTCTGGGGCGAACGCACTCCGGTGAAAGGGCGAAGAACGGGAGAGCAAGTGACTAAGGCTTATTGTCCTTGATCGGCTGCGAGATGTGCAAAAGCACCACAAGCAGGCTGGTTTCTGGATGGTTCAGGGTGTTTGGGTATGCTGTCCCGTGGAAGAACAATTCACTGGTGCGATTTGCAATCTAAGTACGCTCTGTCGACCCTGAAGCCTTAACCTCTTCATGCGAATCACACTCGAGTCAGAAATTAGCCCGGGGAACCATATAGCCCTGCTGATCCCAACAACCAACAAAGCCCTTGCATTCAAATTCTACGACATGACCCTGCTTCTGCAGGTCATGGAGGGCATGGTCATGGACATCTTCAGAGCCTTGAGCTGCCCCTCCTTAGATGTACGGAAGAAGGCCCGGGCCTTCTCCCGCAGTTTTGGTTTCGAGCATTGGGGTCTGTAGGGTTTCAGGCTCCGGGGCCTGGCGTCTAGGGCCTCGATCTGCGGGTGACTGCTACTCATACGTTCCGCAGTTTTCAGATCAAACGTAGAAGTCGCTGAGAGCCGAGAGCCTTTTGTCTTGTGTCAGTGCACGCCGCCAAAAGACCTGAAGGACCTGTTTCTCTCCTGTGCATGTTCTAGCGCTAGCAGTTCCGAGAACCAAGTCCCGAGCCAAAGAGTTGAAGCAACTTTTGTTTCACGCCGCGAAGTGTCAACAATGGCGACGATCAGTGCTCCCGGACGTCACCTCTCGCTGCCCAAATCAGTGGCCGCGGTTGGTGTGGAGGCCTGGAACCGGAAGGCCGGGGAACGGGTCAATGCTCGGGCTAAATTTAGGACGGAGCACGTGAAGTAGTGCGCAGGTATGTAACGTATGGAATATATGTAGTGATTGATTGTGTAGTGTATGTAACCTGTGCAGCAAAGTATGCATGCAAGTATGTATGTAAGTGCCTATGTATGTATGTATGTATGTATGTATGTATGTATGTATGTATGTGTGTATGCATGTTGCATAGTTACGTTCATATGCTCTGTGAGTGTGTTATGGATGCATGCTATGTTATGTCTGTATCGGTATGCCATGTTGTGCTTTTCGTGTTGTGCTGAAAGTTACGTTGTGTGAGTTTGGTTTATGTCATGTTGTGGTACTTAGTAACCAAGTACCATAAGGACCATAACATGACATAACAAGTTTGGATTGTGTAATGTTATGGTGCGCCGCTGCTGCTACTACTGCTACGACGGCGACTACTAC